AAACCAAACAGGAGCCTGAGAAGGTAAAGAGTAAATTCAACCCATGGAGTAAAGTCAAATAAGAAGAACAAAAATGTTTAAAGTGTATACACAGTCCATATTTTAAACAACGGATGGATAAAATGGATAAAATATTTCGTTAACTTTCCACTACTGTGAAAAGACAGAAGGAAATGATTATGTCCTGTGGATATACAACCAAGCCTTCCAAACATGTTTACATTAATCCGTATTAAACATGTCAAATACATGTCTTTCTCACAAAAATCAGCTCTTTCTGACCTTTATAACTTCTGTCAACGACCGCAACAAAAAAATTAGGCATCTGTTGAAACAACACACAAATAAACAAAATCAATGAATATAGGATCTGCCACTCTCCCCAAAAACTGAGGCCATTATCTCCACAGTCATATAGGAAGAAGACAAAAGAAAACAATCCTGGTTGTCAAATTCTGGAGATTTCTCCCTTGCAATGACTTTCTTGCAGTGTCCTTGAAACATACCACATCATTCCTGCTTCTATGCCTTTACTTGAGGCATTAGATTTCTTCCCACCCAAAACTCCTTTCTGACTGATTCTGGCTGTCTACATTCTGCCCTATTCAGAAAGTCCTAAGGTCTTAGCTCAAATTGCATCTCATCCATGAAACCTTCCCTACAATCTCCAGTCCATATGGCACTTCTCTGCTGAAGTCCTAACAGACAACACACTTGTCTTTTTTTCACTTTCTGGCATTTAGTCATTTTCATTCCTACTGTGAACCTGGCCTGTACTCCTACAAAATGGCATCGTATCTAAGCTTTCACAAAGCCCTGGAATAGCAGAGTGGTTAAGTGCTTGGATTCATCAGGACTTCCCTTGTGGCCGGGTGGTTAGGACTCTGAGCTTCCACTGCAGTGGGGGCAGGTTCCATCCCTGATCAGAGAACTAAGATCCTGTGAGACAGAGGCCAAAAAGTCTTAGCCACTGGACCAACCAAGGAACTCCCATCAATCTTAAATAGATACTTAAGTATTAAATAAGCTAACATGTAAAGTATTTAGAACAGCATGGTAACAGTACAAAATAGCTTAGTACAAAATAACGTAAGCTAATGGTTACCCATTTTCCTTGTTCCAGGTCACTCTACATATTGTTTTATCACTCGTAAATTATGGTTTGGTATGTCAGTGCTCTGCACAGAATTCTCCCGGTCTTTCCATAGCCCATGGGTCCACGTCCTTGAAAAATAAAGGCACTCCACAACTTGTCTCCACACTCTCTACTCAGCTTCAGTTACTCAACATCTACTTCATAAGAAATAAAAGCAGACAGACACATAAGGCAGAGACCCTCTTCTCCAGGGTCTGACAACTAATCACAAAACAAGGCACAAACGTGAAAACTTACACACAACGAACGTTCTCTCACAGCTATCACAGCAACTCTCCAAAAGGACCCTTCAGTCCAACAAAATCCGTTTCCTTGTCTGTTTTATTCCACCTTCATCCTCTCATACACAAACACAATCCAGAAAAGCATCTTCTCTTCACCTGTACCTATTCACTCCTACTTTAACGTCTCAAATACCATCATTCTCTTGCCATTTAAACTTAAATAATACTATCTTATCTCAAATCAACTGTTCGGAAGTTTAGTCACCCTCTCGATCTGAAATATAAACTCCTAAAAAGGGGTAACAATTTCTCACCAATTCTTATGATTTCTCTCGCCCTTCCCTCACCCACCACTATGCCTTCCACTCAAACATATCATGATAGAAGAGGTGCTGAAGAATGTGCCAAATTTAAACTTAAAAAGTGAAACTGGAAGTAGACAGCTACTACTAGTGCTTACTACTTGGTAAACTACAGTGAGACGAAACAGACACTGTGTCAACCTCCAGACTATCACTGGTTCACAAAGGTTCAAATCAAACAGGGCCATCCAAATCAGGAGGCTGTCCTGATCTACTAGCTCTTCTATGTAACCACCACATGGACAGATTTGCTCGCTCAGTGGTACCTTGAGTCAACAGAAAAATTATAACATGCTATTATCTGCCATCTAATTTGAAGAGTCTGACCTCCAAAAAGGAGTGAAAGATGATACACAGGGCCAGAATCCAAGCTGGGCAATATCCACCTGCTACATCACTGAGTAGATGATTTGGGGAAGCTTATTAAATTCCACTTTGTGCCAAACCTGTCACCAGGTTTTAAATACCATTAAAACATTGCATGAACTTAGCATTAAAAAGTGTCACCGAGCTCTCCATCTGCCTACACTTTGCAGATTTCCTACAATAAACATGTATTGCTTGACTAATCAGAAAGTTTTAAGTGATTATTATTTCTTTCAGCTTTTAAAGGTCTTCCCTTAATGGCGAATGCAGAATGCAACACTCATAAATTGAAAGTCAACTAAAGGGCCTATTACCCCAATTCTCCACATCCCAGGTAAGTTGCCAATTTGGACAAAATTGTCAACTTCGTGTGTTTCAATTTAAAAAATTACTTCCACACACGCCATCACATGAAAGAAAAAAATGCCACACTACCTTCCTAAGATTCCACAGCACTACAGCAAATTGCAAAGACCTGCCTAGATGGTTCCCTCTTCTCTCCACTCCAAACACCCTCTTCTCTAAGGACTGAGCCCTTATTAAGGGCAAGCACCAGGGTGCTAAGTGATTTACATGATTATGTGAATCGTGAAAACAACAGATACTATTATTATCCCCAGAAGAGAAACCTGAAGTTTAAAGCAGGTTGAGGAAAAACAAACTTACCTGAGGCAATTCTTACAGAAGGAGGGGATTCTAGTATTACACAAAGAAATTTGTTGGGAATATATATTAGGCCCTGGAGACTTTTGTTATGATATCATTATTACAAATCCTTATATGAGAAATTTCATACAGAGAAAACAGTAAGTGATACTTGGTCAAACTGTGGGTTTTCTTTGTAACTATGTACCTCACAATATATGGCACAGAACAGCTGCTCAATAAAAACCTACTGTCTGTTCAAACCTAAATTTTAAGTAGTTAATTCCTAGAACAATTTGATCACAGGGCAAGATCTGACAGGTTATTTGTTTTAACTAGATTAGGTGATACCATAATCAATAGTTATATCTAACCCTAAAGTAAAGGCCTCATATCCTGAGTATGTTTTAGTTAATAAAAGCAAGAAATAGAAAGAAAATTCAAATGGTAGAAATAAGCTGTGATCCTTTAAGATAAGGTTTTCTAATAAATACCATTCAAAAGTTTAACATATCATATCACTTTATACAAAAAACATTTACTATTGATCTATTCTTGGTCATCTCAAAATAACCGATTATGCAGGTTTTAGTATAACCATGAAAAGCACTGCTCAGGTAATCACTGTTTTTCAACTAAGTAAAAGAAAAAATCTGAGCCTCCTTTAAGTACTGAATCAGAATAAAGAAGGTGCATGTGCAATGTACTTTAAGCAAACTTATTATCTGATTAAGTTGCACCTTAATTGTTACCCAGGGACATAAAAAGACAAAAATGTAAAAGCTGGTTAAGGCAACTAGCTGGTAACTGCTGTCTGAATTTGTCTGCTGGAAAGATGAGTTCTTTAAATAACTACAGGTAATCTATGAGGTCTTTCAGGCACCCAAACTTTAGTTCCCAGGGAGAAAAAAGAATCTGTTCCACAGGTAAGGAGCATCTGGTGTTACACAGAAAAATAACATACTTTTTAGTTCTCATCCTACATACAGAGTAGGATATAGATATTATGCAAGCACAGAGCACTTGGGCAATCTTTTCCTCCTTTCTGTGAACAACGATTTATATAATAATTCCTTGATTCAGGAGTATTGCTTTCTCTCTTCCTTTTCAGGCTCAGGTTTCCTTCATTTCAAAACACAACTCTTCTAAAAGATTTAAATTCTTCTTTTAAAACAGACTTAATCATTAAACTCAGAAAGAGGGTCCAAAAAGTCAGGAGGTAAAACCAGAGATATTATTTGTCTTACATAACTTATTCTAAGTTGGAACTGATTCAGTAGCTTAACTAAAACTTGAGATTTAAGCACAAAGATGAGCTCTGTAGTGTATTCTCCACACACAAAGATAGTTCTAAAATTGAAAGGGTCTTTTTACTCATTTTTTTTTCTTGTATTCTTAAGACATAAGCACCTACATGTACAGTTAATTAGGGTGCCAACATAAACATGCTAAAATACACATAATGAGAACTAAATTCATCCTATAACATCTAGGTAATGCAATAATCGACAGAGTTGTATATAATTTCGGAAAATAATTTTAACAATGATTTCTAAGTATCACCTTTGTAAGTATGCATTAGTTGTTTTTAATAAGTGCTGAAGGGAATATCAACAGTGATTTTCAAGAGCAATTGTTATATGTTCACCCAACTTGCAAACAAAACTCTGAAACTATAAAGTTACAGTTGTTCATGCTTAATTAAGTTAGCTTTGATAACTGCAAATTACTCCTTCATAGGTAAATATGTATCAAATGTTTTAAAAATGTAAATTTACACAAACACTGTCCTTTGCTAGAAAGGTCCTCAGTTAAAAGCTATGGTGTTAACTACATCTCATCACTGAGACACTTGAGCCCCAGGGTAGTACTGGCCACAGATTCCCTGCATTGCTCTGGGAAGTGCTGTTTTCTTCATCAAGCACTGAACTGCAAATTCACCTTTTGGAAAAGAAGGAAAGCTAGAAGCCAAGTTTCACTATCTAGTTTTCTAAAACGAATTAGGGTTTAGTATTTCACTGGCAACGACCACGTTATCAAGATGCCATCGCCCTCTCGAGGCATTTAATTACAATTCCTTCTCTGTTTTCCATTCAATCACTAGAACCAGACACACAAAACGCTGGGTTTCCCCGTCTTGGTGAAAAGTCTCCTCTGGGTGCAAACCCTGGGATCCTGCATTCATTTACGCAGAAAGGGCAAAGGGAAAGAAAAGCAACGATTGTTAAGACAACTTAGTGACATTACCTTGCCCGTCTTGTGATCAAACCAGACGAGAGCATGGTTCCTGGACAGCACTTTGCAGTCAAAGGTAGCATTATTCTGCGCTGGTCGACAGCGGGCCACGGAGCGGCCAATTTTAATGGGCTCGTCCAGGTAGACATGACGCTCCTGAAACGGGTGTGAGTTCGGGCGGCAAGTGAAGATGGCCAAGGCTGACGGCATCGAGGACAGACTTGGGGGTGTCTCTCCTACCAGGGACAAAGAGGAGTTCCACCGGATCCGAGTTGCCCTTCACAAGCCTAGACCCCCTTATCCCCCCCCAAAATTTTAAATTAAAGCAAACTGTACATTGTCTAAGCATAACCAGTGAACATCAACAGCTCTTCACTTGGGTGGGAAGACAAGTCAGCGCAAGCCCCATCACCTCCTTGAAAACCCAGCAGCGCCTTGATCACCCAAAAGTCCCCAACTGGCGGCTTTCAGTCCATCTTCTTCCCTGGGAAGTAAAGGCTCAAACATCGGACAGCTTCGGCCCAGAAAACTCCTGGAAGACAGTTTGGGGGCTGGAGGTATCCAAGCAGATGAGTCACACGCCAATTCTTGTGTTTTGTTTGGGATCGTGGCCGCTTTTCCCCCTCGGTGGCGGAAATGTTGCAGCACTGCAGCATGAAGGAAGGGTCGGTGCGGCCAGAAAGTCCTTGCGGGCGGAAGAAAGGTGTAGCTGAGCGCCCCTGGGCGGCCACCGCCCGTCCTCGAGGGCCTCGGGAGTGGTGGGACGAGGCGATGCAGGAGGCGGCGGAGGGCTCTAGACGGCCAGCGGGACAGTCTGCATTGCCCCGGCTGCGCGGAGGCCGCCCGGGAGGTGGCACCGGGTGCCCGGACCGCCCGGGCTCAGGCGGCGGTGGCTGGGGTCCTTGGCACGAGGAGCTGGGGTCGGCGGGGGCGCGGGCAGCGGCCGAGGCGGGACTCCCGGGCACCTGGCGGGCGTCCCCGCGACCAGGGCGGGGATCCGGCTCCGCAGGCGGGTGCGAACCGATCAAGGCGCGACCCGGAGGGAGGCTCCGGGATCTTGGGCCGCAGGAAGTTGGTCCCTGGACGCCTGGGCTCCCGGCTGCTGCTCAGCACACCGGTCGCCTCTTCTCAGGGTCGCCCCCGCGAGGGTCGCATCTCAGGGGCAGCAGCCGAAGCTCCAGGCGGACGAGGAGGTGGGGGAGGGAGGCTGGCCCGGAGATTGGGGGAGAGGCCTGGAGGCCCCGGGTCGGGTCCGCCGCAGCCTCCACCACTCGCGGCCGGTGGGACACGCTCAGGCTGTGACCGACGAGGCAGGAAACTTTCCGACCTGAGGGGGGAAAACATCAAAACAAACGGCCGTCAGGCGCCGGTGCCCGCCCGCCTCAGCCCTCGCCCCTCTCAACCCACCCCAGCCAAACCCCGTCACTGGCCACGACCTCGGCCGACCTCTCTGCGGACAGGCTCGGGGGATTGGGAGCCCGGACGCCACGACGGGTCCACCTTCCCTTGCCGCCGCCGCCTCAGCTTACCTTGCCAGCGCCAGCCGCCATAGTGACTCTGACTGAAACCTACCCGGTGCACCGCCACGGGAACGCGCACCCTTCAAGGGCCCTCCTACCCCCTCTCCCGCGCCGTAGTCGGGGTGTCACGTGACCGAAGCCGCGGAAGCCATATTGGTCAAGGGCAGAAAAGAGGGCAAGCCAATTTTTAACAAGCCTCCAAACGCCATCTTAGTTAAGGGTTAGACGCTTCAAAACCGTGGGGCAACCTTAATTACCATTTTGGTTAAGGGCAATAAAAATTTTTTTGACTTGTTGAAGGTTTTCTAAACGTAACTTGCCAACTTCCTACTTTACCATCCTGGTAAGAGAAGGCGCCTGCTTTTCCTAAATTTTATTCACTATAGTCCTCGTTGAAAATACCAATGAGCAAGGAGGACAAACTCATCCGAAGGAGATATTATTAGCATCCATCTTAGCTGTGGGCAACACAGTCCCCCCCCCCAGCTGCCCTAGGTGTGAGCAATTAAATTCCCACAAGCCTTAGGATTTGTGCATCTAAGGTCCATTCTCCCCTTGCTAGGTATCCTGCCCGGAGGAAAACCCTGCATTCCATTTCAAATGACCTTACTGTAAACGGGGCCTATCCTGTCCCCCGAGCTCCTAACTTCGATTCTACCTTGGAATGAGTGTTCTATCAGAAAAGTTAGCATCACGTTGCTTCCAGAAAGAGGTCGAACAATTTCGAATATGAAGAAAGGGGTATTAACTGCACTCGAAATAGTAAGGTAGATGAGGAGTCATTAGTCTCAAAAGGGAAAGATTTCGCGAAATCTAAACGAAAATTTCAAGACAAAGATAGAAGAAATGAGCCATACTCATTTAGAATCAGTGATGACTTCATTCCTAAGATTCCTTTGACAACAGGCTTCACCACTGTGTGACCTTGGGCACATTTCTTAACCACTTCAAGCCTCGTTTTGTCATCAATTACATGGAGGTAATACTTAACTCACCTGTTGTGAGAATTCAAGGTAGTAATCCATTTGCTCATAAAAGAGTAACGACAGTGCATTTCAATTCGTATATACAGAGTTGAGGCCTGGTCCCGAGCTCGGTCCTGAACCCTGGAAACACATAGGTGCATAAAACCTCAAATTTTTCTTCTGAGATTACACCTGAGTACTATGAGATAGGGATGGGGAGAGAAAGGTGACAAACAGAGGTAACTTCACGTTGAGGTAATCAGGGCTAAGCAAGCACCAAGTGCTAACGGAGTCAGAGATGGTCTTCCATGGGAGGTGACCGCACTGAAAGAAGGATGGCAGGAAAACCACAATAAATGTAGTATTTGATGAACGGCTTCATAAGTTTCCAGGGAGAAAAAGAATAAGGCTCTTTGAAACAATAGGCCAATATGCCTGGCACATATTAGTGACTAAATAAATATTTGATACATGATTGAAATGTACTAATAATGTTATACTATGTTATACTATGTTATATTATGTTATAATAACTAATAATAATGTTACTAATTATTACAGGATAAAGTATTAGAATACGTGTTAGATTATAGAAGATTATAAGGACCTTGTATGCTTTTCTAACATTCTTCACTATTTCACCAAATATCTACTGAATTACTACTGTGTTCCTGGTACTGTATTTTGGAGAAAAAGAAGGGTGTGTTGAAAAGTTTTAATATAAGAGGATGAAATTTTTTTCATTTGTAGTAACTTTTAGGCTTTTGTGGAATAAAGTAATATAGGACTCTCCACATAACCCTAATGAGTTCTGTGCATGAACATGTAAGTCACTTAACTTACAAGTCTTTTCATTCATTCACTCAATAGATTTTTAATTTGAAGGTGGGAAACAGCTACTGCCATAGGCCCTGGAAATACAGCAATGGAAAGAAAAAAAAAAAAAGACTCCCTTCAGTTGTTCAACGATTTAGGTGATGACACATTACAATAAGATTCTTGCTGTAATGAATTTATCAAGGATAATGGGAGCATGTAGAGTAATTAAACTAATGTGAAAAATTAGTAGGAATCAGGATTTCCCTAGTGGGCCAGTGGTTAAAAATTCTGTGGTCCCAACACAGGGGGACCCGGGTTCAATCCCTGGTCAGGGAACTAGATTCCACATGCCACAACTAAGAGTTCATGTAAGCATAAGGAGAGGTGGTTAAGAAAGAAGGACACAGAAAAGCAGTTTCAGTTGCTGAAGGACTTGCAGGCAATGAATGCAATGGTCTTCAGAATATTCCCACCTTTCTCCTGGAAGACCAAAGTAGAATCATGAAAATCAAGGTTTCAAAATCAGACATTGCATCACCATTTAAAAGCACTGTAAATTATAAATTATTTAGCTTCTCTAAGTTTCAATTTCCTCATTTAAAAAAATATAGATAGTACCCCACAGAGTCTTAAGATTAAAAAAGATAATGTTGGGATAAAATAAGATAATGATGCCTAGAAAATAGTAGATGCTCAAAGAAGGTCAGTTTCTATTATTATTACTAATATTAAGAATTCTTCCAGCCTTCCACATACAGTAAGAGGCAAGTTGTATTATCTCTAATTTGCATATAGAGAAATGTATTCAGAAATGTGGAAACAAAACATATCTCTTTATGTTCAATTCTACTACAGTCTCTTAAAATGAATGTTAAACAAAGAGAATACGCTTTTTCACATTTTTTTCCCAAAGAAACGCTGGGACTGCTATAACCTGGAAGGGTAGAGATTCTTATGAAGCTATGGAGGGTGCTGGAAATGCTAAAATGGCATTGAAGGCGTTCTTCACCCCCTGGTATTTAGTAGGCACAAAAAAGGCTTAAATTAAGACATCTCAAACATGAGATATTTTGAATTCTCAGCCATGTGGGTGTTGCTCTCTATGATTCTGTATCCATACAATATTTTAATTAAATAAACAGCATGTTATGTTTTGAGAAATGTGGAATGATAGTATTTCCCAATGAGGTAGCTTTCTCTTCCTCTTTTATTTTTACTTTTTAAATAAACTGATCATTACTACCACTGCTATGATCCATGCTACTTTTCAATCTAAGAAAAAGAAAGGAAAAACTGCAAAATTATTTCCCTAGTACCATGAAATATAGGCAATTATTAGCATTTCAGATGTGTAAGAGACAACTCAACTTACAGAGTTTACTCTGTAAACTCATTTATATGCATTTGGTAATCATTGAATTGAGTTTTAACCAATGATACATGATATAGTGAATAACTTGCATAACTGCTTAAGGAGAGTATCTGAGTTACAAACACGTATAAGTAAGCTAACTAATTAAAGAGAAGAACTGGAGTAGTCAAAGATTAAAATTGAGAGGATATACTATTTTTAATGGCACACACTGGCTTCTTGAAACTGAAGTTTAATCTTCTTCACAATAAGAAAAGCTCTCCCCTCACCACCGCCCCCCTTCCGATCAGGGAGATTCTAATGAGTGGAAATACTCTGTCATTTCCCAGGTGCCCAAGGTGGAGTTACCCAAACATTCCAGAGGTACTGCTCATTGGTGTTTTGGCTTCCTGGTTCTTCGGAAAATAAAAAGAAAAACAATTACCTGCAGACAAGTAAAGAGATTTATTTTTCACCTAGCAGTCTTTTTCTGTGAATATATAAAGAGGGGATCTGAAGATTAACTCTCGGAAAGATCATGGACAACTAATCAAGTTCTCCTGGTTCTTCAGGAAATAAAAAGAAAAACAATTACCTGCTGACAAGTAAAGAGATTTATTTTTCACCTAGCAGTCTTTCTGTGAATATATAAAGAGGGGATCTGAAAGATTAACTCTCAGAAAGATCATGGACAACTAATCAAGTTCCCTCATTCTGCAGACAGAACATTTATTGAAAGAGAAGGAACAGAGAAGGAACATTTATTGAAAGTGTATTTACCATACATTTTCCTCATAACATCTCTGCATGGTACTAACCCCATTTTATAGATAGGGAAACTGAGACTAAAGAGATTAAGCGACTGATTCTAAATCGCCATGCTAGACCTAAAGTATAGGCTGTATTTGTTGTTCTTTTTGAAAAATTTCTTTATTGATTTTTTTTATTGATAAAGTGAACACATATTCATTGCATATATTCATATAAGCAAAACTAAAGAAAGTAAAAATTCTCTTTATCTTCATCACAAATCCTCAGCCCAGGCCTAGCTACTGTTAACAGTTTATTAGCTATATCCTTCCAGATGTTTTTCTAAACCCATTTGAGGCATGCCCTTTTAAAAATACCATATTATCAGAAA